CAACGCCTGTAGAATCTAAGTGACTGAATTATCAAGAGTCAGCATCATGCACGTTTTATCTGATAGTCATCACGTTGCAGTTTGAAGGTAGCAGGCCGTTCCAAAAAGGTCAGCCAGCCAATTCGTTTGGCAAGTGCTCGGGCGCGGCTGCGATCCGCCTCGTCCATAGCCTCATAAACATCAGTAATCCGCTGCGCTTTCCAGGCGCTGAACACTGATGACCCTCGGCGCAGTTCTCCACCTTCGAAATGCAGGCTGAAGGGTCCCAATGATCCGTTGCACACATCACCGGGCGCCACCTGCTCAACGCTAGCAGCAGCGTCTTCTTTTGTCAGTTGCGCAAATTCCGCCCCAATGGGCCCAATCGCTTCCAGGTAGCTGATAAACGCCTCGCTGAGGGTAAGCTCACCATCCGCAGGTGTGCTGTAGGCCGCATGCAGGTTGTCGAGGTAGTAACACAGGTCCGGGGTTTGTGACTTGAGGAAATCCATTGAGTCGCCCTGGTCCCGATAATGATGGGCGTAGTAGCCGGTAAACAGGCAGAAGTCGACGAGGCTTGGGCGTTGTCCAAAGGCATATCGGGTTGGCCCGACAGCGCTGTTCAGGAGTCTACTGGTCTGCTGAAAGAGGTTTTCCACCACAGCCTGCCCCGCCAGTTCGCTGATACCTAATCTTGGCAGGTAAGACATCATCTGAGTGGCCACTTTTTCGCCGATGGCCATGGCCGCTTCTCCGCTTAATCCTGCGCTGCCGCCAATGTGGCGGCCAAACTCACTGACCACAAAAGCTCTTGAACGTGGGTCGTTCCAGCGGCTGTGCATGGCGGTTGTCACCCACAACTCATCCATGATGAATTCGATGATCCGCGTGACAAGCATCAGAACTGCATCTTCCGGAAAGGCAGGACGGGCAGGATGCGCTGCTTCCAGCGCATCGATAATAGCCGTGGTGTCCTGCAGAATTTCCCCGTCTGGCGTCTCTACGACGGGAATCATGACTTTGTGTGTGGTTGCCGCGATACGCTTTGACAGATCCCTGCCGTTGTAGGTTTCGATAAATGGAATGTGTTTGTAACTCAGGTAAGCCCGTGTCTTTGCGGAATAGTAGGAGAACATGGTGCCGTGATGGAGGTAAGGCTTATCCGCTTGCATGGGTTGCTCCAATCGGTCTGGTAGTAACGAGTTGCCGCTTATTGATATTCGGTTTGTTAAGCCGGCGTTCAGGTGCACAGACTACATTGGCGCAACTGATTTAACAGCGCTTTGCGGTGACTTCAGAAAAATTAAATAACGTCATATTGGAGAGACGGATGAAAGTAACAAGATTGCCTAAAATTGGCCTGGTAGCCCTTGCAGTGAGCGTCAGTGCGCCGGTACTGGCGGATGAAGGGATGAGCTATAACTTTATTGAAGGGTCATATATCGATACAGAAATTGATGACGGTCTGGATGTTGATGGAGATGGTTTTGGTTTGAGCGGCTCGGTAGAGATCGGCACAAATTACTTCCTGACGGCCAGCTACTCAACGCAGGAGTTTGATTTCGGCATTGACCTGGATCAGAAATCGATTGGTTTCGGTGGCTATACGCCATTGTCAGAAACGATAGATCTGGTAGGCAGCATCAACTATGTGGATGCAGAAATTGACACGCGTTTTGGTGATGCAGACGACAACGGCTTTGGTCTGGGTGTAGGTCTGCGTGCCCAGGTGGCTCCTAACGTGGAGCTCGAAGGCGGTATCAACTACGTTGATCTGGACGAAAGTGGTGATGACACATCATTGGCGTTAGGTGGCCGTTACTACTTTACTGAAGCCTTTGCCCTGGGTGCTGGCGTCAGTTTTGGCGATGACGTGACCAGTTGGAATATTGGTGCGCGTTTCGAGTTTTAAGACTTATTGAAGGTCTTGCTGTAAAACAACCCCGGTAGCTCAGGCTGCCGGGGTTGGTTCTGTGATGGCGCAGGGCGCGGTTAATTTGGCGCAGCTGCCAGGTCTTCGCGCAAATGTCGTGCTGCCATAAAAAAGTGTGCTGCGGACCAGATGGATGCGGCCGGAACCAGATAAATCAGCGCATTGCGCAGTGATTCAACCCCTGACGTCGGTTCCAGATAGTCGCTTAACACACCTACTGACCAGGGACCGAGTCCCAAGCCAATCAGGTTAAGGACAAAAAACAGGATCGCGGACGCCAATGCGCGCATGCGTAAGCCAACCAGGCCATGCACCATGGCAAGCGTGTTACCTAGATAGACCGTTGCCAGAAAACCCGGGACGATAAACAGGATCAATGCTATGTTGGCGGTTTCTGCGCCATAGGTTAAGTAGGCAAAGGGTGCGCTGATGATGGCGGCCCCGCCAGGGACCCACATATACCAGCGCGTATCTTTGATCGCCAGGTGCTGGGCGAGAAATCCACCCATCAGCAGGCCGACAGCGCCACCCAGACCAAGTATCAGAGCCAGCCAGGTGCCTACCTCGCCGCTGGTCATGCCAAAGCTGCGGATCATGAAAGAAGCTGTCCAGCTGTTCATGCTGTAGACAGCAAAACCATTCATGGCGGCCCCCATGGCCATATGGCGAAAAGAGATACGGCTGCGTAACAGACCAAGCACATCCCGGAGGGGTTCCGCTCGTTCAGCCACCTGCTTGTTGTCGGCCAGCCCACGTATGGGTTCAGACAGCGTGTAGCGAACCATCAGTGCGATCAGAATGCCCGGGATACCCACAACGATAAAGGCCACCCGCCAGCCAAAAAATTCATTGAGCCATCCGCCGGCCAGAAAACCGAACATGATGCCGATGTTGACACCCATGGAGTAGAACGACAGCGCGCCAGCGCGACGCTCTGGTGGAAAAATATCCGAGACAATAGAGTGAGACGGGGGGCTGCCACCGGCTTCACCGATACCAACGCCGACACGGGCGAGCAACAGTTGAGTGTAGCTTTGCACAAAGCCGCTTAATGCAGTCATGAAGCTCCAGGTGCCGATCGCCAGCGCGACAATATTGCGGCGATTGCCGTTGTCTGCCCAGCGGGCAATGGGGATGCCAGCGGTGACGTAAAACAGCGCAAACGCAAACCCGGTTAATAAACCCAACTGGCTGTCAGACAACAGCAAATCAGCTTTAATCGATTCCTGCAGAATGGCCAGCAATTGCCGGTCAATAAAATTGAATGTGTAGACAATGGTTAACAGTGTCAGGGCGTAGTAGCGCGCTCGGGTAGACGCATACGGGTTGTCCAGCTGCACGGCGACCCTCCTTTTCTTATTTTGTTTTTACGATAGATCCCCAGTCCAAAGGGTATCACTTGGTAGCACGGTATCGGGAGGGTTAAGATGCCAGGGTTTTTTCGCAACGATTTGTGAGCGCAACTTGACCAGCACTTTTTTGGATAAACCCATCTCGGGTCCGTTCACGATGCCATCAGGGATTGTTTCTACGGCAACTTCAATTATCGAGTACATGTTTGCCCATGTACCTGAAGTGGGTGTGATGACCACCAAGAGCATTGGCTTGGCGCCGCGGCTCGGCAATCGGGAACCCATTCTGAGTCAGTATGCCCCTGGGTGTTTTGTGAATGCGGTCGGGTTGACCAATCCTGGCGCCGAGCGAAGCGCTGAATTATTCGCCAAACTCGTCGTCCCGCAGGATAAGTTTCTGCTGACCTCTATTTTTGGCGGCAGTGTTGAAGAATTTGTCGCGGTGGCCAAGCTTCTGGCACCTTTCAGTGATGGTCTCGAACTCAACCTTTCCTGCCCGCATGCCCAGGGATATGGCATGGCCATGGGACAGGATCCGGAAATGGTGTATGCAATCACAGCCGCGGTGAAAGCAGCTGTTTCCATTCCCGTAGTGCCCAAACTCACACCAAACACCGACAATATTGCCGCCATCGCGCGCGCTGCCGTGAACGCCGGGGCTGATGCTCTGTGTGCGATCAACACGGTTGGACCGGGCTATTTCTCTGCTTATGGCAGTCCCGTGCTGAGCAACGAAATGGGCGGCATGTCTGGCAAAGGTGTGCTGCCAATCGCGCTGAAATGCGTTCGAGAAATTGTCAGGGAAGTGGATGTGCCGGTGATTGGTTGCGGTGGCCTGTCCAGTGCCATGGACGTCGAGGCGATGGCAGATGCCGGCGCGAGTATTTTTGGTGTGGGATCAGCCCTGGTCGGCATGACCTCGGAGCAGATCAGCGAATATTTTTCCGCGTTGGGCAAAGACCTGACCACCCGTGGCAAACGGGCGGAATCCCTGGTGCAATATGATGTTGATATGGACTTCACGCCGGTGACCCTGGTCAGCAACGAGAAAGTGACAGACGATATTTCGATTCTGACGTTTGACCATAAGATCAATGTGCAACCCGGTGAGTTCATATTCCTGTGGGTGCCTGGGGTGGGTGAGAAGCCGTTTTCAGCGTTAACCGACGACCCTTTTTCCCTGGTTGTGATTGACCTTGGCGAGTTCACCCATCATCTGATGGGTATGCAGCCAGGCGCTCAAGCCTATGTTCGCGGTCCACATGGCATACCTGCTCAGCCCCCGGAAGATGCGCAGATCATTGCGGTTGCCGGAGGCACAGGTCTGGCTGCGGTCTACCAGCTGGCTCGAGATTTTGGTAACGCAGATATCTTTGTCGGCGCAAGGAGTGCCGATCGGCTCTACTTCCAGGAGGCCTGCGCCCAGGCCGCCCGTCTGCATGTCGCCACAGACGACGGTAGCGAAGGCTATCACGGTCTCGTCACACAGTTGCTGGATAACCACCTGGCAGGCTTGAGCCGGCAGGAATTGGATAAGCTGGTGTTTTACAACTGTGGCCCGGAACCCATGGTGCATGCGGCGGTAGCTGTGCAGCAGAGATACTGCCGCGCTGATCAGATCTTCAGTGCCATCGACTATTTAACCAAATGTGGTGTCGGGATCTGCGGTGCCTGTGCGACGCCGGATGGCAGACGTTTATGTGTGGACGGCCCTTTTCTGAGTGTGGATGCCGCCGCTAGATAGACAGATCTTTCAGGTTGTAGTCTTTGATGACCCGCGCGTAGGTTTCCGGGTTGAAGCGAAGGCTGTCTTCGAAACCCTTGAGTGGTTGATAGTCATAACGGCGCTGATCAGGGTAGTGTTGCGCGCGGGCATCAATGGCCACGCCGATCACGCAAGCACGGTCGTGGATGCGTTGAGCATCGTAAACTTCTCTGCTGCTCTGGCTGAGTGCCCCGGTTGCACCCAGCACCGATGAGCGCCGGTGGAATCCGAAAGTCAGTGAAATCCGCGTGTTGTCAGAGCTGTTGGCAAACGATCCATGCAACAGCTGCCGGTTAACAACGGTGACATCTCCGGGCGCGCACGTCAGCGGCACCGCGCCAGGCAGTTGTTCTGAGCCGCCGTTGTCTGCAACCAGTTTTTTGATGTCGATTTTCCCAAGTTTGTGTGTCCCTGGCATCACCCACAAACAATTGTGTGGCGTGCACTCGTACAGCTGAACCTGAAAGTTAAAGCCGTGTATGCCTTCGTCCCAGTTATCAGCCTGCCAGTGTGTCACACCATCCTGGTGCCAGGAGACAGCGCCGCCTAAACCGGCCTGTTTGACAAAAATTGCATCGTTGTAAGGGACAAAGTCGTCGCCGTTGATCGCGGCGGCGATGCTTAGAAGGTCTGCATGGCCGTAAAGGCGGAGCCCTGCCGGCATGCTTTGACACATGCCAGATATCAGGTAAACGATCTCATCCGGCGCGTTGGACGCAGCCTGAGGTTCATTCATTTTTGTCGGGTGGCGACCATTGAGCAGGGTGGTGCCTCCCCAGGGGTCACTCAACGGTTTTGCGAAGGTATAGGTTGGTCGGGTAAATTCACTGCCAAACGCGGGTCTGCCCTGGGCATCGGTGTTGGCATGCTGTCCTGTGGGTGCTCGCGCCAATAGCACGTTGATGTCCTGCCGTAGCGCGTCGATTTCCTCATCAGCGACGACGTCGGTGAAGGTATAGAAACCGTGTTCCCAGTAGGCGCTCAGGATGTCGGGGTGGAGTTGATGGTTCGCAGCATAACGCACCGGCCCGCGGTTACCCAGGCTCGCGCCTAGTGAAACCCCGGCGGAGACATAGTCCGTTAGGCTTAGGTGGTGTGCAGCCGCGCTGAGTGGTTCTGCTGGCGCGGTGGCGTTTGTGTCTTTCCTGTTCACAGCTGGTTCTCTCCCGCGACTTTAATCCTGTTTTTACGCCTCGTGCCAGGTTACACCTTGAAGATTGAAGTTTTCAATCTCTGCCGGACTGTAGCCCAGCGACTTTAAGATCTGACTGTTATCTGCGCCGGCTATAGGGGCGCTACCTAACGATTGGGTTTTTCCGTCAAATTTGACCATGGGGCCGTGGCGGAAGTAGTCACCCCATTGCGGATGTTTTGCAGGGGCTATGAAGCCACAGGCGCTGACCTGATCGTCATTTAACCAGAATGTGTTTGGTGCATGTCCGCTTGCAGGCACGCAGGCCACCCCTGCTGGCACCAGCAGGGTTTGCCAGTACGCAGCGTTGTAGAGTTGGAACACGCTGCTCAGTTGCTGGGTAAGGCTGGCATGGTCAGCGTGCCAGTCAATATCTGCTGCTGATCCTATGCCTGCATTTTTCAGGGTGTTGGAAAAATTTGTTTTTTCCTTCTCGCTCAACAGGGCGAGGAATACCCATTGTCCTTCTGCACAGTTGTACAGGCGGTAAGTGGGTGTCAGACCGTGAAGTCCGGCATCGGGTTGCAGGCGCTCGGGTTTGCCGGGGTAGTCCAGAAAGTCATCTTGATTGGCGTACGCATTGGCGCCAAACATATCAATAAGAATCTGTTGTCCTTTGCCAGTGGACTGGCGCGCATAAAGCCCAAGCAGCACCGAGCTGGTGACCACCATCGCGGTGTTTGGATCTGGATTAACCTCGTTTGCCCGCATCAGTCGGCTTGTCCAGAGACGGATGTTATCGATGTCCTGCAGGGTGTCGGGCACATGTTCACCCATCTGGTACAGCACACCGCCCACAGCGGCGCCTGGAATCGGGTGCGTGCTGGGTCGCAGCGCGCTGGGTCCATCCGGCCCATAGCCGTTACATTGCAGAAAAATAAGACCCGGGTTGATCGCGCTGAGCGTGGCGTAGTCGATGCCCAGGCGCTCTGGTACGCCGGGACGATAGTTGTGGATGACGATATCTGCGTCAGCAACCAGCTGATGGACAATTTTCTGGCCTTCCGCTGATTTCATGTTGAGGCTGATGCTCTGTTTGCCCGGGTTGACCCGAGCAGAGCCGATACCGGACAGCATGCCCCTGAATGGATCTCCGCCAATCTGTTCCACCTTAATAACGGTGGCACCCATGTCCGCCAGGAACGAAGCACCCAACGGGGCGGCAATAATGGTAGCTATCTCCACAACTTTTAGACCGGTCAGAGGCAGGTGTGTGCCGCTGTTTTGTGCCGGTCCGGGGCGAGGCGAATTGATCCAGTGCGATACAAGTGTCTCGGCAGATGTTGTGCTGCTATTGCCGCCGGGCTGGGCAGGTGTCTCGGTCAGGCGTGCCAGAGGTCCTAACTGTCTATGGCCTTGTGCTGTTTCGATCACGTGTCCGTTTGCCACAATGTCAGGATCGCTGAGCGCCTCCTGGGTTGTCTGATAGATGCCTGCCACCACGCCGCCATCTTTGATCAGGTCGGCCATCCAGTCTTTAGATGTGCGCTCGGCGATCCGGGCCAGCATGCGGTTACGAAAAGCTTCGTGTTTGTCCTTGTCTGTGAGTAGCAGCTGCTTGGGATTGAAATCAGGGTCAGCGATAATGTCTATCAGATCAGTTGCGATCAGGAAGTTATCAAACAGGTGCGGTAACAGGTTGCCGAACTGCATCCAGCGACCATCGGCGGCCTGGGCCGGATGATAAAAAAGGCTGGGCATTGGCACATCTTCGGTAGGGGCTGCAAGCGCCGGCAGTAAATCCGGGAATCGCTCGCGGAATTGCCCGCCGAGCATGGGGCCTTGTTCGTAGGCCAGCATTCCCTGCAGCAGGCTGGTTTCAATGAGTTGGCCCCGGTGAGATTCCCGGCTGGCATAAAGGGCTGCGAGGATGCCGCTGACAGCAGCCTGAACACACGCATGGATACCTACCTGCAAAGCAGAGAATACCGGCCCCGGTCTGTCGACGATACCGGTGAACATCTGCATTCTGCCGCAGTAAGCGGCGACCGCGTGCTCGTAGCCTGGGCAATCAGCCATAGGTCCATCGCCGCCAAAGCCGGTGATGTGACAGAAATGCAGATGCGGGTATTGCTTGTTGAGCTGCTCTGGATGCAGTTTTCTGGCGCGCAGGCTGACGGGACGCCAGTTGCAGACCAGTACATCAGCGCTTGCCAGAAGTTGCTGCAGCTGCAGATGATCTTCTGTTGTGTTCAGGTCGAGTAGCAATGTGTGTTTGCCACGATGCCACATGTTGGCGCCGGGCAATTTTTCTATTTCTGGTGTTTGTGGTGGAGTGATGCGCACCACCTCAGCACCAAAGTCCGCCAGAATCATGCCCGCAAGACCTGTGGTGGGACCGCTGCCGAGTTCGATGATGCGTACACCCGCCAGCGCTGTAGGGGTGGCGCTGGGATGCTTTGTTTTACCGGTTGGCTCTGCCTGTACGTCATCAGTCATGGCATCTCAACTTTGAAAGTTATAAGCCTTACAGCGTAATTACTCAGCAGCCTCAACGCCAGCGCGTGTGAACTGCTGTTGTGGTGGGTACAGATGTTACACTCTGCGCCCAATGATCTTAACAACATCCGCTCACGCCGCATGATGCAAAATTTTTCTTCTGTTTTTCGTTCAATAATACTGGCCGCTGTTGTTTGCGGCCTGACTTTTACGCCGCGCGTCCACGCTGCTGCCTACACCCTGCCAGAGGATAACAACAGTCTTCTGGGTGCTGTAAAGCAGGTGCAGCTGGTTTATGAAGACACTTTTGCCATCATTGCGCGGCGAACGGGTGTTGGATTTTCTGGCCTGCAACGTGCCAATCCGGGTATCGATGAGTGGTTACCCGGTGCTGGTGTGTCGCTGGCGTTGCCGACTTCCATGCTTTTGCCGGCAACCCCCAGGCAAGGTGTTGTCATCAACCTTGCAGAGCTGCGCATGTACTTCTTTCCGGAGTCGGGACAGCAGGTGTTTGTTTATCCGATTGGTATTGGCAGCGAAGGGCGCGAAACCCCGGTCATGCAGACTTCAGTTGTTGGGAAAATTGAAAATCCAACCTGGTACCCACCACAGTCCGTGCGTGACCGACACGCGGCTGAAGGTGACATTCTACCGCGGGTAGTGCCGCCGGGGCCGGACAATCCGCTGGGTCCCTTTGCCATTCAGCTGGCCCGCTCGGGTTACTTCATCCACGGTACCAATGCCCCGATTGGTGTTGGGCAGCGGGTATCGTCGGGGTGTATCCGCATGTACAACAATCACGTGGCAAGTCTGGTTGCGACGCTGCCGAATCGCACGAGCGTCCGGGTGATTGATCAACCCTATAAAGCAGGGTGGCAGGGTGATGACTTATATCTGGAAGCACATCCGCCGTTGGAAGGCGCTTTAAACCATAGCCAGGCAGTGGCGGCGGTGATTAGTGCGACAAAGGCGCGTGATGCGGATGTCGACTGGGGCAGGGTAGTTGAGGTAGCACGCACAGGCAGTGGCCTGCCTGTACGTATTACACGCTAGCGGATTACTTTCCGCCGCAGCACTCGCTTTCCATGCGGCTCAAACGCTCCGCAGTTTCTGTCGCGGTATCCATCGCTTGACGCGCCATGCGCTGAGCATCGCTGATGTCAGACGCACTGCCAGATGCAGCTGAGCTTGCGTCTCGCGCCATTTCTAAGGCTTGATCTGCTGTGCTCGAGACACCGGAAAGTTGGTTCTCTAATGCCGTGAGGCGGTCAGCAGTTGCACTGGAAGCGCAGCCGGAAATCGCAAGAAGGGCAATAGAAATTAAAATAAGCTGTTTCATTTATGTAAGACCTCTGTCTATCAGGTGGAGGGGGGGATCATACGCTGAAGTTTATCCAGTCTGTAGGGTTTAATCATGCAAGATATTAAGTGTTTCTGCTTATGGACTATCTAACGGTACAAATTTAGGTTCTTTATTCTTTTGAAAGGTGGATGGAAGATATGAATGTTGCAGTAAAAGACACCGCGGCGGTGGTTGATGCGGGCTATTTTGATGTATTGGTGATCGGCGCCGGAATTTCAGGTATAGACGCCGCGCACTACATGCAAACTGAGTGTCCGGGGAAGTCTTTTACCTTACTTGAAACCCAGGAATCTTTTGGCGGTACCTGGCTGACGCATAAGTATCCGGGTATTCGCTCAGACAGCGATCTGTTCACCTTCGGTTACAAGTGGAAACCCTGGGTGGGCGCACCCATTGCAACGGCTGAAGAAATTCTCAAGTACCTTGATGAAGTGCTTGATGAAGAAGATATCCGACGTCATATCCAATACCGGATCAAGGTGACAGACGCGTCCTGGTCCAGTGAAACAAAGCTGTGGACGGTCTACGCAGATAACCTTGCCACCGGTGAGCGTTTGCGCTTTACCACGAACTTCATGTGGATGTGCCAGGGTTACTATCGTCACTCAAAGGGATATACACCCGAATGGGATGGCATGGATGACTATGAGGGGGTCATCGTTCATCCGCAGACCTGGCCTGAAGATCTGGATTACAAAGACAAACACGTGCTGGTGATTGGCTCCGGAGCAACCGCAGCGACGGTGGTGCCCGCGATGGCAGCGGACTGTAAACACATCACCATGCTGCAGCGCTCGCCAACCTTTTTCATTCCTGCGCCTAACCGCAATGAAACGGCTGAGATGTTACGTGAACTGGATGTGCCGGATGAGTGGACCCATGAGATTGTGCGGCGCAAGGTGCTCTTCGATCAGCAGGAGATCACCCGCCGCTCGTTCGAAGAACCTGAAGGCTTGCGCAGCGAATTAATTGGCGCGGCAAAAGAGTATTTAGGCGAAGACTTCGACATTGCTACCCACTTCACGCCCAGCTACCGCCCCTGGCAGCAGCGTATTGCGTTCCTGCCCGACGGTGATCTGTTCCAGGGTCTGCGGCAGGGTCAGGCGACGGTAGTGACTGACCAGATCGAGCGATTTACCAAAAATGGCGTGCTGCTGAAATCAGGTGATGAAATTTCTGCTGACATCATTGTCACAGCAACAGGCTTTAACCTGTGTGTGCTTGGTGATATCCATTTCACGGTTGATGATAAAGAAGTCGACTTTGCCGACACGGTGACTTATCGAGGCATGATGTTTACCGGTGTGCCTAATCTGGCCTGGGTGTTTGGATATTTCCGCGCCAGCTGGACCTTGCGTGCAGATCTGATCGCAGAGCTGGTCTGCCGGATGTTTAACAAGATGGATGCCCAGGGTGCGAAGGTAGTCACGCCGACCCTGCGACCTGAAGAGCACAACATGCCGCGCCTGCCCTGGATAGACCCGGATAATTTCAACCCAGGCTATCTGATGCGCAGTCTGCACGAGATGCCAAAACAGGGTGATCGCGATCCGTGGATTTTCACTCAGGATTACTGGAGTGAAAAGGATGAGTTTCCGGTTGCCGATCTGGACGATGGCACGCTGATATACACCTGATCAGGGCTTAGCCTGATCAGGGGTTCTCAAAAGCCAGCGGTCGTTCAGGCGCCGCTGGGCCTGCTTGGGTTGTCATCGCTGTCAGGAGCTGACTCGGCAGCTGCCTCAACAGCCTCCGTTGCATGCGGCTCATCTTCTAATGGTTGAACGTCGACTGTGGTGGCAGCCTCTGCTTCCGTTGTCACAGCGCCAGCACCAGCAGACCAGGGTGTCTCACCGGGCTCAACCTCCGGCCAGTCGCTGAAAGGAAACGGCAGGTCTTCGCTGTTAAAGGTTGCGAACTGCAGAATGTCGTACAGGTAGGCACTGAGATTGGCGCCAAAGGTCTGCAGAGAATCGTTTACCTTGCCGGTGACGAGGGCTGATAGAAATTGAAATACTGAAATGATGACTAACAGGGTTTCGCCAATGGAATACGCGATGACCAGAATGACCATGTACAGCGCGCGTACCCAGATACTCCGGTCAGCCAACCTGTTTTTAGTTTCCTGGTCCATAGTATGCCTCTATTGCTTGTAGAATGTGTTGTGTTACCCAGTTGATAGCAAGATTGATACCAGAAATTAATCATCAATAAAAACAAAGGCATAGCGATAATGGTGTTGACGCAGCACAGCGCAGGTTGGTTAATTTGACCAAGTGTTGAAGCAAATTTTATGTGTTCTGGAGAGATCCGGGCTTCTAAGCTATCAGGCTACTTTGATATAGTTAACTGAACACCAAATCACCAGCTCTAACTTTGGAGAGAACTATGAGTGCAGATCACGAGGCCCGTAAAGAACTCGGTTTTGACCCCGATGCCCTGCGTGAAAAATATCGCATTGAGCGGGATAAACGGCTGCGTGAAGACGGCAATGAACAGTATGTTGAGGTAAAAGGGCAATTCAGCCATTACGTTGAAGACCCCTATATTACGGACAGAATTCAGCGGGAGCCGCTGACCGATGAAGTCGACGTTGCGATCATTGGTGGTGGCTTTGGCGGTCTGCTGGCGGGTGTTCGATTGCGTCAGGCGGGTGTGGCAAACATTCGCATGATTGAAAAGGGTGATGAATTCGGCGGCACCTGGTACTGGAATCGTTATCCCGGTGCAGCATGTGATATTGAATCTTATGTGTATCTGCCTCTGCTGGAAGAAACCGGTTACATTCCGCCGAAAAAGTACGTTGAAGGCGCTGACATCATGGCTTACAGCCAGCAGATTGCTAAACAGTGGAATCTCTACGATGACGTCTGTTTTCAAACTGAAGTTCAGGAATTGCGCTGGGACGAAGCGGCACAGCGCTGGATCATCAAGACCAATCAGGGCGACGCGATGAAAGCGCGTTTTGTAATTTCATCCAATGGTCCTTTGAACCGTCCCAAGTTGCCTGGTATTGAAGGCATCGACAGCTATCAGGGTCATACCTTTCACACCAGTCGCTGGGATTATGCTTATACCGGCGGTGACGCACACGGCAACCTGACAGGTTTGAAAGACAAACGCGTGGGTATCATCGGCACGGGTGCCACCGCGGTGCAGTGTGTTCCGCACCTGGGTGCAGCGGCGAAAGAGCTGTTTGTTTTTCAGCGCACGCCTTCCTCTATCGATGAGCGCAATGACAAGCCAACAGACGAAGAATGGGTGAAAAGCCTGAAGCCGAACTGGCATCAGGAACGCATGGATAATTTCAACACGCTGGTTTCCGGTGGTGTGACGGATGAAGACCTGGTGAACGACGGTTGGACAGAAATCATTCGCAATCTGCTGTTGATGATTCGCAACGAAGACGAGCCGGATATGTCCATGGAAGCGATCATGGAAAAAATGGAGCTTGCAGATTTTCAGAAAATGGAATCTATCCGTTCCCGTGTTGAAGCGGTGATCGAAGATCCGGAAACTGCGGAACACCTGAAACCGTATTACCGGCAATTCTGTAAAAGACCCTGTTTTCATGATGACTACCTGCCGACCTTCAATCGGGAGAACGTGCATCTGATTGATACCGAAGGCAGAGGCATTGATCGCATCACACCAAAAGGTATTGTTGCCAACGGTGTGGAGTACGAGTTGGACTGCATTATTTTTGGAACGGGTTTTGAGGTGGGTACTGAATACACCCGTCGCTGCGGTTATGACACTTATGGGCGTGAGGGCAAAAGTCTGAGTCAGCACTGGGCAGATGGCGCGCGCACCTATCATGGCCTGCACAGCTCCGGCTTCCCTAACAGTTTTATGATGGGGACGTTGCAGACCGCATTCACCGCCAATTACCCCCATTCGCTGAATGAACAGGCAAAGCACATAGCCTACATCGTTAACCAGTGTATGGAAGGTAATCATCAGGTGGTTGAAGCTACAGCGGATGCTGAGCAGGAGTGGGTGGATACCATTATCTCGCTGGCGAGGATGAACGAGAAATTTCTCGCCGACTGCACACCAGGTTATTACAACAACGAAGGTAAGCCGACGGAGCGTTCTCAGCAGAACACGTCGTATGGCGCTGGCCCGGTTGCTTTCTTCAAGATGCTGGAAGACTGGCGCGCTGAAGGCATGATGAGTGGCTTACAACTCAAGTGACAGTCACTCAGCATGACTTGAATTGAAAAGTTCATGATACCCAGCCACGCTGACCTGTGGTTCCTGCCACTGGGTGGGTGTGGCGAGATAGGTATGAACATGAACCTGTACGGCCATGATGGACAATGGTTGATGGTCGACTGCGGGGTGACGTTTGCCAGGCCTGGAGCCATTGAGCCCCATGTGCAGATGGCTGATCCGGCATTTATTGCAGATCAGCAGGACAACCTGACTGGTTTGCTGATTACTCATGCCCATGAAGACCATATTGGTGCGGTTGCTCACCTGTGGCCGCAGCTGCGCTGTCCGGTTTACCTTACTGCATTCAGTGCTGCTATTCTGCGCCGTAAGCTGGCGGAACATAACCTGCTTGATGAAGTTCCCCTGCACGTTATTGCGCCGGGAAGTCATCTGCAGCTGGGTGAGTTCGACATTCAATGGCTGAACCTGACCCATTCCACACCACAGTCCCAGGCACTCTGGATACAAACCAAGGCCGGTTCGATACTGCACACCGGCGACTGGAAAATAGACCTCGATCCGGTGGTGGGGCCGCCCATCATCCCGGCTGAGTTTGCCGCGCTGGCAGACGAAGGTGTACTGGCGATGGTCTGTGATTCAACCAACGCTCTGAACCCTGGCCACTCCATCAGTGAAGGAGACCTGTTCGAAGGCTTGAAAACGTTGATAGCTGATGCGCCAGGAAGGGTGGTGGTCGGGTGTTTTGGCAGCAATATTGCGCGCCTGCATACACTTGTATCAGTGGCCTTCCATACCGGCCGCTATGCGGGTGTGTTGGGGCGCTCGTTAAACAATTATCTGCAGGCAGCACGCCAGGCGCGACTGTGGGATAAGTCGCTGTCTATTATTGACGCTTCACATCTGGGTTATCTGCCGCCAGAGGAAGTACTGGCGATTGCCACTGGCAGCCAGGGAGAGAGCGGTGCGGCACTGTCGAGGCTGGCTGCTGATACACATCCGGATCTGTCTTTGCAGTCAGGTGACACAGTTATTTTGAGTGCCCGTGTGATTCCCGGTAATGAAGTGGCTTTGTCAGCTTTGTTAGACCGTTTGCGCCAGCGTGGCGTTCATGTGGTGAGTGATGAGAGTCTTAACTTTCCTATTCATGCCTCTGGACACCCTTGTCAGGATGAGCTCACAGATATGTACAGCTGGGTGCAGCCAAAATTTGCGATACCAGTGCACGGTGAAGCGCAACATATGGCGGCTAATGCTGAGATCGCTCAGCGCAGCGGTGTGTCACGCAGTTTTACCGGTGAAAACGGCGATTTGTTTATGCTGGCGCCGGTGCCGGGGATGCGTCGGGGGTTTGCGGGGGTTGGTCGCCTGGGGTTTGACCGCGGGCGTCTAACAAAGATCTGATCTCATTGTGCCGCGCGCGGCTGAGTGTGATTTTGCGGGAAAAGAAATAAGGCACCAGTAGTGACAAGGCAATGAACGGTCCCATGACCAATCCCAGATTGAAGATGATGTCGGCATCTACAGTGCCAGGCGCTGCGCCTACCGGTAAACGAATCAGATCCACAACAACGCCACCGACAAGGCTGCCAAACCCGGTGACAAATTTAATCGAAAATCCCTGGGCGGCAAAAAACACACCTTCCTGGCGCTGATGAGTCAGGTATTCCTGTTCATCGGTGATGTCGGCAATGACTGAAGCTGAAATGGTCTGAAACCAGATCACCAGAGCCGAAGAGATCGCCACCTGGGTGGTGACGATAATGAAAATGGCGGTTGTGCCGTTCATGGGTAACCAGTCCAGCAGCCTGCCGGGGATCAGCCAGCAGGTGTTGATGACCAGGCCGATGATGCAGATGTTCAGGATGGTCTGCTTTTCAATTCTCTCATTGAGCCAGTTCATGGCAAACATCATGATGGCGATCGGCACAAGGACCAGCAGGGTCAGCAGCGCCAGTTGAGCGGTGGTGAACTCCCAGAAGTAAGTATTCACGTGGGTGGCTAGAGCGCCGTTTAAACCTGTCGCCACGCCCAGGGTCAACATGACAAAAAACAGATATTTGAAGTTGCTGTTTTTGAACGCCAGTCGCAGGTCGATACCAAGCTGTTTGAAACTGAATCGGTTGGTTATGTTGGGTTGTGGTAGGAAAGGGATACGGTTGCGCGTCACCACAATTGAAATGGTGGTAAAAACGGCGACCACCAGAAAGGAGATTCCACCCCAAAGGTAATAGTTGGCGTTAACCAGTCTGCCGTCGATGCCTGCGCTTGAGTCAAATACAAAAAACCAGGCTCCGGCAGTCATCAGGATTCCGGCCAGCCAACCGAACAGGGTGCGTGCGCCCGCTATTTTTGATCGCTCGATATAGTCGTTTGACAACTCAGCGCCTAAAGCCAGATAAGGTACTGTAAACAGAGTAATGAAGGTCCGAAGCGCAATACAGACAGTCAGCATCCAGAAGAAGATAGCCATCTGGCTCATACCCTCCGGGACGCTGAACAATAGAAAGAGACAGATGGCCAGGGGGATGCCGCTGACCGCCATCAATGGGTGCCGCCGACCCCAGCGACTGCGTAGATTATCCGAAAGAGAGCCTATGATCGGGTCGGTGACGGCGTCCCAGGCCAGGGCGATAAACAATACCGCCCCGGCAAGGGTGCCGCTGAGGCCGACAACGCTGACGTAATAGAACAGGACAAAGGATCCGAAAGCCACATCTTTAGTGGTGAACGACAGGGTTCCGGTTGCGTAACCCAGTCGTGTCCAACGAGTAATCCCTGGTGCCGCCATATAGCCATGACATCATTAATACTGATAGTCGACTATATCGAAAGCCGGGGGTTAAACCTATACGGCGTTTGCCAATTCTACCTCTGCTGGATTGCTTTTCAGCCATGCCAGCACAGTGTCGGCATCTGACACTTCAAAAGGATCGGTGGCGCAGTTGTCTTCAAAGCCCGGTTCGATGAACATCTGCTCAATGTCGCCGTTGTTCACAACCATGGCATAACGCCAGGATCTAGGTCCAAAGCCGAGGTTTTCTTTGTCTACCAGCATACCCATTTTACGGGTGAACTCACCATTACCGTCCGGCAGCATTTTGACGTGCTCGGCGCCGATGTGGCGTCCCCACTGGTACATGACAAATGCGTCGTTCACCGACAGGCAGTAAATTTCGTCTATGCCCTGGCCTTTGAACTCTTCATACAGCGCCTCGTAACGCGGCAGATGAGTGGTCGAACAGGTTGGCGTAAATGCGCCAGGTAGAGCCAGGACGACAATCCTTCGGTTCTCGAAGATCTCTTTGGAGGTAACCTCCTGCCAGCGAAACGGGTTGTCTGCAGCAATGGATTCGTCGCGTACGCGGGTCTTGAAGGTGGCGTTGGGTACATGGTTTTTTGATGCAAGGTACATAGTGCTTCTCAACTGTATTGATTTGAGAAGCACTATAGCGGCAGCAGAAAATAGTTCTAATTGATTGTTTTTATTTAAACGATAGGTTTTGACGATCGACCCGTTACGCTGATAGCCCGCCGTCGATAACCAGTTCTGTGCCTGTGATATACCTCGACTCGTCGCTGGCCAGAAATAACACCCCATTTGCGATATCCAGCGGATAACCGACCTCGCCAGTGGGTACCCCGAGTGTGGCCATGGCTTCAACGTCTACGGCGTTTTCTCCTTCCTCGAAATATTCAGGATTAACCTTGGTCCAGATGGGTGTATCGATGACCCCCGGGTGTACTGAATTCACCCGGATTGGCCAGCGGGATTGTGCGCACTCCAGAGCGACACCTTTGGTTAACAAGCGTACGCCGCCTTTGGTTGCGTTGTAGGCAGCCAGGTTCGCAGCGCCTTTCAGGCCGGCAACCGAAGACATGTTAATGATTGAGCCGCTACCCGCATCGCGCATAGCTGGGATAGCGTATTTTATGCCCAGAAAAACACCGTCAAGGTTAATAGCCTGCTGGCGCTGCCAGTCTTCGAGGGTCATGTCCACGATACTGCCGCCGATACCTATACCGGCGTTATTCACAAGTATGTTCAGGCCACCATGTCGGGCAACAGTTTGCTCAACAACATCCACCCAATCACTTTCGCTGGTGACATCATGTTTTATAAACTCAGCTTTGCCGCCGGCTTTAACGATGTTTGCGACGGTTTGTTCACCAAGGGTGGTATCAATGTCGGTAACCACAACGGTTGCGCCTTCAGCACTGAGACGCTCTGCACAGCCTCGGCCGATACCCGATGCCCCGCCTGTGATGATCGCAACTTTCCCTTCAATTCGCCCCATGATCTTCTCCCTCGATTTTTTGCTCTGCCAGCCGCTCAGTTTATGCCATTGATGCCAGGTTCTCTATCTGCGTTATGTGGTGCGTAAAACTGCTTCGACGAAGCAGGTGGTGCAGCCGCAGCCGTCTGCTGACCTTCCGTTGCAGGACTGATACGCACAATTCTGCCGCCGCTGGCGTGTTCCAGAAGCAGCAGAATATGGCCGTTGGGGTCTACTTCAATATCCCGTATCCGCGCCAGATCCCTGATCAGCATCTCCTGCTCAATCAGTTTGTTGTCCACTATTTTCAGCCGATAAACATCAGCTGCTTTGAGGGAGCCGACCAGGAACTGGTGTTTCCAGGCTGGGAAAGCAGCTGCTTCGTAGAGCACAAAACTTGAAACTGCGGGGGAGGGAGTCAGGTCCACCACGGGTTGATCAATATCTTTGAGCTCCAGCTCAATGCCCTGTTTCTTGCCCCAGCTGACCTGTGAGCCGTTGTAGTTCTGTCCTTTGGAAAACGCTGGCCACCCATAGTTGTGACCGGGCAGCAGCAGATTAACCTCGTCACCACCCCTGGGTCCATGCTCGGTTTCCCACAGTTTGCGTTCAATCGGGTCGAACTCAAGACCCTGGGGCGAACGATGACCGTAGCTCCAGATGGCTTTGTTGGCTGTTGGGTGGTCAATAAAAGGATTATCTGCAGGTATGCGTCCATCATCATGCAGGCGCAGAATTTTGCCGTGCGGCGCGCTCAGATCCTGAATCAGATCAATACTCTGCATGCCGATGCTGAGGAATACAAAACCATCCGGATCAAATGCTATTCTGCCACCAGCGGCCACGTCCGAGGCGGGTGAGTAGTAGGCCAGATCTGCTTTCCATATGATCTGTTCATCTACCCAGCGATTGTCTTCTATTCGCCCTCTGACAAGTGCATTCATAGACACGGGTCGCTGCATTTCCCGACTGATGTCATTACAGTTTTCGCAGCGATCGGTGTAGTGTAGATAAACCCAGCCGTTGTTCTCGTAGTCCGGGTGCAAAGCAACATCCAGCAACCAGCCCATACCATATTCCAAACCACCCCCGCCGGTGCGCGCATCGCCGTATGTTGCCGGTGTGCCGGTGATAAGCGGAGATAAACTGCCGTCGGTGGAGACGATGCGCAAACCGCGCATTTTTTCTGTTACCAGGATTTGTCCATCTGGCAGGGGTGCGATGGAAAACGGCAGTGGATCGATATGCTCTGCAACCGTGGTGATGACAAAGTTGTGATGTTCGCTGTGCTGCACAGCTGCCGGGATTTGCAGTTCGCTGTCTATTTTAAAGTCTGAATACAGCAACCCGCTGCGATTTTCAGATATCCACAATGCCAGACTTTTGATTTCCTGCAGCGTGAGTGTATCCCTCCAGGCAGGCATACCCTGTGTTGGAAAACCGTCGCTGATGCTTGTGATCAGCTGCTCGACGTTCTGGCCGTGTTTAAGCTCAACCCCAAGCAGAGGTGCCCCTTGAGCTGCACCTTCGAGTTTCTCTCCATGGCATACCGCACAATTGGCTGCGTATAAATCGCCAAACTCTGAGCCGGCCTGGGCGCTAAAACCGTGACTCGGGGTAAGTAGTCCCGTTAGTGCAGCCACCAATGATGCCACCCAGATCATTGGTATAGATACAACGTCTCTCATGATGTCTCCCCTTTCCTGGAAGAAGACTACCGCGTCTGGGCAGGTGTGCCAATCGCGGGCCTGCAGCAGGCTTTAGAGGTACTGCTTAAAAAAGGCGACTGTCTGGTTTACAGCCTGGGCGGTGAGTTCGGGTTCGTTGCTGAATAACCCCAGACCATGGTCAGCCTGCTCAACAACATAAGTCTTACGTGTTGAGGCCTGTATTGCCTGTTGATAGACAGCTTGCGGCACAGAGGGCTTCACCACCTGGTCCAGGCTGCCATACAACACGAACAGGTTGCCGCTGAACTGCTTGATGGCAGAGCTGGGTTGTGAGTTTTCAATATCGGTAAAAAACTGGTGCCCGAGAAGCTGTTGCTGCCCCCATGAGGTTGTGAATGGTACGGCGCCATCCTGCTCTGCTCGCCTTTTCATTTGCACATAGCCGGATTGGCCGCCAAACATCTCGACCAGTGAAACCGCGCCATCAGTGGCCGCGGGTGCCCACAAAGCCATGGATTTGACTGGCATCGCCTGACTGTACAGGAGAGCCAGGCGGCCACCCATGCTGAACCCCAGTGCGCCGATGCGACTCGAATCGATGGCCAGTTCTGTTTCAGCGTATTGATGTGCGGCGGCAATGTCCGCCAACATGTTAGATAAATTGTTTTGTGCAAAAGACTCTTTGCTGTCCCCGCAACCTGGAAAATCCATGCGTACGCTGGCAATGCCCTGTTGCGCGAGCGCCTGGGCGACCTGGGTGAAACCGCCTGCCTCGTGGCGCGTACCGCCATGACCGTGAATCAGGATAACCAGTGGCGCAGGCTGGTTGCCGCTGACAGGCTTTACCAGGGTGATGGGAATGCTTGTCTGTCGCGAATCGATCCACAGGTCGCGGCTCAATTGTGTCGGCTTTGTCGTCATGCAGCCGAAACTCAAGGCGTATCTGCTGCCTGTTGCTACATTTTCGAGCAGACAATCTTCACTGTTAGCGATCAGTTGGAATCTCGGTGGGGGTTCGATACTACGGCCGGTGGCGAGTTTTCCCTGAGGCGTATTGGCAAGCGCAGGTGCCAAAACGAGAATAGGACTTTTCTGAAAGACATTGGCGGATAACAAAGGCGCCGCGTTCAGCGCCAGATCCTTTTGGATCACGCTGCTGACCTCCTGGATCTGCTGGTCACTCAGCTGATCAACGTACGCGCCCTGGTAGGGCTCAGACTTTGCCTGACAGCCGGATACAAGAAGCGGCAAGCTCAGCAAGCACACACAGCGCAGTAACGAAATGCCCGGCAAAACGTTCATCTGGAGATGACCATACCCGGCATCTGGCCGCTTTTCTGCAGAGCCAAGCCGTCTGAACGCTGCAGGCTCGGTTGTTTAAAAGCGCTCTGGGCTGAGCGAATCGGTACCACACATTGCCCGGTAGCGATGTAATCCAGTGCGGTACTTAACCTGGCTTCAGTGGGGTCACCTAACGCGCGACTGTAGTCGTCCGCCACCTCGCAGGCTCGTACTTCCACGGTTTCAACCGGGTTTTCGCTGGGGATAAAGCCGTCTGCGTAGTCACCAAAACCCTGCGCATTGATGCCGCGGAATTGAATGGTGAAATAAGTGGTGCCGCAGTTGTCGGTGGGATAAAAGCCGTAGGGTTTGCCGCAGGTGGTTTCACCGATGAGGACTACTTCCACGTTAATCCCGCGCAGACCGTTGATGATAGCTTCACTGGCGGAGCAGGTATCCGCGCTGGACAGTATAAACACCCGATTCAGATTAATGCTCGGCAGGGGTGTCCCGGGCGACAGTGAAAAGCCCTGAGTCACTTCATGAAAGGCTGTGGGTGCCAGTGCCTGTCCAGTGACCGGATTGACCGTTGGGTACTTGTCGTTAAATTGAGTTTCGTCAAATACCCGTCCCGATGCCGCGGAAGGCCCGGCAATCATATAGCTGATCTGGTTAGCGATATCGAGAAAGCCGCCACCGTTGTAACGCAGATCAAGAATCAGATCGGTAATACCCGCGGTCGCAAAGTCTTCGATGGCGGCAACCAGGGCGGCTTCTGCAGGTGCTATATGGGTGGTGAACAACAGATAACCTACCGGACCGCTGCTGGTCTGGAACACGTCGGTGACCGGTACCGGGTTCTGTGTAATCGTTTCGGAGACCAGGTCAACATCACGGACGTTGCTGTCGTCAAAGTCTGAAATGCGCAGTCGTGTGCTGCTGCCGATGCTGCTGGGGAACAACCCTGCATTGAGCGCATCGACGCCATCCTGGGTGTTGTTGTTAATGGCATCTACGCCGTCTACCAGCAGGACTCTGGAGCCACGTGTGATGCCGGCCTGATCAGCGGGAGAATTCGGTTCAACCAATGCCACGACAATCTCTCTAGGCGGTGTTGCCCTGATCAGAATAAATTCAGCGCCATAGCCGGCGCTTTCACCGGATTGACTCAACGCTCTCCAGGCTTCGGTATCAAACGTGAAATGGAACTGATCTTTGCGCGCGCCTGATGGTGTGAGTGCATTGGTCTGCATCAGATCGAAGTAGGTGGGCGTATCGAAGGCTTCAGGGTCTGCGTCCACAATTTCGTCATACCAGAGATACAGGTCATGACTCCAGGCGCGCAGCCATTCATTTTCATCTGTTGCGTTGCCTTGTGCGTCGTTAAACCCGCCACTGTTACGCGGGTTAAGGCAGATGTTAGAAAAAAGTGCCGGGTCGTTGAAAATGCCGCGTTCAAAATCAGTTTGCGCGGTGGGTGGTGGCGGGGGAGGGTTGCCCCCTCCGCCATTGCCACCGCCGCCGCCCCCACCGCCACATGCGGTAAGGATCAGGGACGTGGACACAAGCAAAAAAACTTTAAACAACATATGAGCCTGCCGATTTTTGAATTTTAAGGCGCGAAGGGTTAAGTACGCCCTATCGCCTGTTCCGATAGCGTCAACGAGCGATCAATTCGATTGCGCATTTCTTCCAGATCAATACCTTCGGTACTTTTTTTGCCCTCGCAGTAGCGTGCATAAACACCATGCACAATCGCAGCGGTTTTCCAGCGATTAAAGGCCACGTAGTAATTCAATCGCGACAGGTCTCGACCGGTTTTTTCCGCATAACGGTCTGCCAGTTCAGTGCGGGTGGGAAATCCAGGTGGCGCGGTAGCGGCTTCCGGCACAATCGGTTCCGCATCGGTAGGGTCGGGCCATGCGTTCAAGGCGTAAGCCAGATCTGCTAACGGATCTCCCAAGGTTGATATTTCCCAGTCAACAACGGCTGCAACGGTATGTTCCGGACCAATCAGGACGTTATGCAGGCCATAATCGCCGTGTACCACCCGCGCCGGTCCCTGATCAGGCATATGGTCCAAAAAGTACTGTTGCAACTCGTGAGCACGTGGGTCGTCATAATCTGCAGGCTCCACCGATGACGTCCAGGATCGATACCAGGTTTTCAGCTGGCGCCCGACATAGTTTTCCTTCTTCCCCAGTTCGCCCAGGCCTACTTCATCCGGGTCGACGGCATGCAGGCGCGCCAGCACATCGATAAATGATATAGCCATTTTGCGGCGTTCTGATTCAGGTACCCACTGACGTGTATCATCTGAGGTATACAGTGGGTGACCATTGATGTGGCCCATCACGTAAAACCAGGCGCCGGTCACTTCCGGGTCTTCACAAAAACCGTAAGCAGCAGGCACCGGCACATCCGTTTGTCCCAGTGCTGAAATCAGAGCCCATTCCCGTGACATGTCGTGGGCTTTAGGCAGCAGTTGCCCCTGAGGCGGGCGCCGGATCACTGCGAGCGCACCTTCGCTGTCTTCCAGTTGATAGGTCAAGTTGGAATGCCCGCCTTCGAGGCGGGTCCATTTGAACGGCGGTTTCAGATCAGCTACGTGCTGGCTGATCCAGCTTTCCACTGCACTGACGTTGTAGCCTTCCGGCGTTGTGTCTGAATGTTTGTCAGTCATGGACAGCGCTACCAGAGATCATATTTTTGCAGTTCTGCGCGGCCAACCACCATGTGGTGCACCTCGTCAGGACCGTCAGCAAAACGCAGGTGGCGCATATCGGTATACAGGCCGGCCAGTGGCGTCCATTGCGACACACCTGCAGCACCGTGGATCTGTATCGCCTGGTCAATAATTTCGCAGACTTTTTCCGGCACCATCGCTTTCACCGCGCTGACGTAGACGCGGGCTTCTTTATTGCCCAATACATCCATCGCTTTGGCAGCCTGCAGAACGGATAACCGCATGGCGTTAATTTCGATGCGCGCGCGGGAAATCATTTCAATGTTCTTGCCCAGCTTGGCGATGGGTTTACCAAATGCGGTGCGGCTGCCAGCGCGTTTCACCAGCAGTTCCAGCGCCAGTTCTGCTTTGCCGATGGAGCGCATGCAATGGTGGATGCGTCCCGGCCCTAATCGCAGCTGAGAGATTTCAAAGCCACGACCTTCACCCAGCAGGATATTTTCTTTTGGCACCCGCACGTCGTTAAAACGCAGGTGCATGTGACCGCGGGGTGCATGGTCTTCCCCGAAGACTTCCATGCCACCGAGGATTTCAACTCCGGGGGTGTCGATGGGTACCAGAATTTGTGATTGCTGGCGGCTGGGCGCTGCGTCAGGGCTGGTTTTAACCATGGTGATCATGATCTTGCAGCGTGGGTCGCCAGCGCCGGAGATGTAATATTTTTCACCGTTGATGACCCACTCGTCACCGTCGAGGACCGCGCTGGTGCTGATATTTTTAGCATCAGAAGAAGGCAGCGCCGGCTCGGTCATGGCGTAGGCTGAGCGGATCTCACCGTCAAGCAGCGGTTGCAGCCACTGTTTTTTCTGCGCCTCAGTACCTACCCGTTCCAGCACCTCCATGTTGCCGGTGTCAGGCGCGCTGCAGTTTAAAGTCTCAGAAGCCAGGGGATACTTACCCAGTTCGGCTGCAATGTACGCGTAATCCAGGTTGTTCAGACCTTCACCCGTATCTGCATCAGGAAGGAAAAAATTCCACAAACCGGACTCTTTGGCTTTAGCTTTGGCGCCGTCCAGCAGTTCTAACTGGCGTGGGTGCCAGCTCCAGCGATCTTCCTTACCTTCGTTTAATGCCTGAAATTCATCAACGATGGGCAACACGTTATCGGTGATGTGTTTTTTCACTGCCGCCATTAATGGCTGAGCTTCTTCGGACATGGACAGTTCAAACAGGTCTGCTTCTAAATCTGACATCTTCTCCTCTTCTCCTCTTCTTTCTTCTGGATTGGTATATTGCTTTGATACCTGATCATAACCATTTTTATACCGTTCTGGGGAGACTCTGCCGTCCGTATTGCGACCTATAATTTACAAAATCTGTTTCTTGTCGAAGAAGGCGCATTGGACCCGAGCCTGCCCGTGAAAGGCCCTTTGACACCACAGAAGCGTTTGCGCCCCATGGCGAGAATGATTGCCCAGGTAAACGCAGATGTTTTGCTGGTGCAGGAAGTCGGCTCACAGCGTTCGCTGGCGCTTTTAAACGATGAGTTGCCGCAACCTTATGCGTACTGTGAAGTTGTGCCCGGCAACAGCACCCGCTCTATTCATCTGGGGGTCCTTTCACGTTATCCGGTTGCGCTGAAATCACACCGGCACCTGCGTCTGTTCGACGAGGCGGGCGCGCCGCTGCAGTTTTACCCGTCTGCGGATCATGCTGCCCTGCAGGATGCTCAACCGGTTGGCTTTTTTCGGGATCTGCTGCAGGTTGAAGTGCGGCCAGCAGAGCAGCCTGCGCTGACGCTGTTTGGTGTGCACCTCAAATCGAAGACGAATCCCCCCTGGCAACTGCATGGAGCTGGAGTCTACCGTACGGCAGAAGCACGCGCTGTGCGCCAGGTGGTTGAGCAATATTGCGCGCAACATCCAGCAACAGGTGTTGGCGTGGTGGGTGATTT